TTCTTCTTTCTTCCCTTTATAGTTTACGAAATTGATTAACTATTTTAAAAATTACGAAAAAGTGTACAAATTTTGGAAATGTATTATTTATATTCTTTTGATAATATATGTCGATAAAAATTTGTTTTACATATTTTTGTGTTTCGCCTTTTTTCCTTTTTATCTCTCTTCCTTGCTATGTGATAATCAGATAACTATTAGTTGTTTAAACATTTGACCACTAAATTATAATAATAAGTATATACGGACGTGAGATGTGCCAACGGATATTTCTTTAAAATAGACGACGGCAAAGATTTGGTTTTCTGCCAAACGCCTCTGTATTCTTATAGAAAGAGAAACGATTACTTCCTTCTTATTTTACGTCGAGGAAAGAAACGTAAAGAAATTATCGATGGTGAATCTTTTCACGAATAGAAAAAAAGAGGAGTTAGAGTTACGTCACGCCGTTACGTGACGGTTGCAATTGCTTGGAAGCATTTTATCCGCCTACGTGTTATTATCAATTTACATGCGATAACTATATTTCTCTCTCTTTACCTTCTCCAAAGTCAATCAGAATAAAGTATCTAACAATAAGAAAATATTTATATATGTTGTAACGCTTATCGATTTATATCGTCTTGATTAAATTAAATAATTTTGTTAATTGTATTTCTAATTATTTGCAGTACAGTTATTACTCCTGAACTTGGGCGATGGAATGGCTGCTGAATTTGCGTATAGCAAATAAAATTATGGAAAATTTATTGGAATAAAAGTACGTAGAATTTCTTCTTGGAAAATCGTCTTCGAATATTTTTTATTTCTGGTTTGTAATTATATAAAATATATTCTGTTATATCTTATAATATATATTAGATGTATATAATGTATACATAATATTGTTACATGCACCACATACGAGTGTATTACTAGAATTATGCGGATTTTATGATATATTTTAAACGCATTTAATTGATATAAAATTAAATGCTTTATAAAAAAAAAAAAAAACCATTCTTATGCAAGTTAATGTTACAATCAACTGTTAACAATCAACAGCGATTCTCACTCAATCATTACATATTGCACTTTAAATATGTAATGATTGAGTGGGAATCGCTGTTGATTGTTCTAGGCTTTCCCTTTGACGGCGATGTTCGCCGCGACCGCGTATTTTTTCAATATGAAGAAGCGCACCGCGATGCCTCAACAGCGTCGAGGAAAGATGTTTATGAATGCTTTTCACGGATATTCACGCCTGCATGATAAGGCGCGGATTTTGACGCCGCGTCATATAAATTCGGTCGTTTCATGCTCGCGTCTCGTACCGGTGAGGATAGCGCTGCTCGTCTAGATGCGACAGCAGTTTGCTCTTTGTGTACTTTGCTTTACGCGGGGAAGGTAGCGTAGCGAAGAATTTTATTATCCGCGAGAGCAGCGGCCGCGATGTCGGCGTAAATGCGTCCGTTTGAGTACACGCGAAATTATGACTTATGAATTATCATAGCGAGTACGAGCCGATGGTCGATGGAGACCCACGAGAGTAATAATGGTCGGTGTCGTTTTTATACGATCGCCGCGCTCAATGAGTTTTAATTATCGGTCGTAGCGGCAAATTAACGATTTATGCGAGTAATTCTCGGTAACTTTCGCGCGAAGGAAATTTCCTAAAACACGAACGAGCGCGGAGTTAACGTTATAGCATGCTGGCACTCTCGCTTTACTACCAATTTTTCCTGCAATGGGAATATTACAGCTCGCGCAAGTGTATTCCGTCGCCGTGCATTAATACTTAATGATAATTAGTTTGAAATTGTTTCTTTTTTAATTAATCACAATCTCAAGGTACATAGCGAATGAGTTGCGAAAAATTAGCGTTAAATTATAAGCGACATTTATAAGTTACATGACTGACGATAATTAAGTTTCGTGAAAGGGAAAGAAGTACCAAAGAGAATTTTTTTTTTTCAACCAAACTTTTGCTTTCGAGTTTTCAAGTTTCGGAGGTGCGCGATGTAGAGATCGAGAATCGGATTTTTTTCTTTTTTATCTCGAACGTGCACGCGCATCGTGTTTCACTCGCGAATTACGTGCAATTGGAGCCTTTAACTGAGTGCATTATGAAGCGACACGGCGCATATTGTGCAATTTATACTCGATGCGTGTATCCTTTATCCGTAACATTAACTTGTATACTTCGTATTAAAACCACGTACGTTTGACATGCCGCGATAACAAACCCGAGTAACGAAACCCGATATTCGTTGTGCGATTGAATATTGATGGGAGCAGCTTTTCGCGGGCAGTAAATACGCATAGATATTCTTTTTTTTTCCTCCTCTTTTTTTCCAGAAAATACGTCATCGCGGTGTTTTCATCTGATCTTTGTGAAGCGATTACCGATGCACTCGATTCAATATTTGACATGTCAGTCTGTAGTTTTACGTAAAATGTGAAGTTTCGAATTTCGATTACGTCACACCCCGATATTTGCACGCGATCAAATAATATTCCTCATAAACATCGCGCGAAAATAAATGGAAATTAAATAATCTCTTCCTAGTGCCCGTCTCGCTTTGCCTCGATTCTAATTCCACGTCGACATCGCAGCTGTCCCTTCCGCCTACACACATGCGTATATTACTTACCCAGGAAATGAATCTCCACTTGACAATTCAGCAACAAGGGCAACAAGCCGAAACTGGGGAATATTAATTGGCAGCAATTAGCAAGTTGTAACGCGGTAAGCCCCCACTGTCGATTGTGTTAGATGAATTCGCTGATTAGGATAAGCAGCCAATCGCTGATTAGGACGAGAAACCGCTCGTTAGCAACGATTTTTGGCAGCAACTGCGGATTAATTACTTACGCAACTCAACCCGCAATGATAATTTTGTCTTTGTGTGCTTTGCCCCGCAATGTATGCAGTATGTAAATTCATTGCGTTTTTAGCGTGCGTGGTTGTAATTAAATCGCAAAAGGAATTAAATTATTTAATCCGTTTGCTGGGGGAGAGGAAGGGTTGTTTATTTTTATACATATGTTTCCATGTTTGTGTCACTGCGATTACATTTATCAGATTCTGTCACCTCTAATTTTTATATTTCGACATTGGATATTGGCTTCGCCGATGCTCTCGATGACAACCCAGTGTTAAACTGTAAATTAGACATAAAAACAACTGTATCAATACACAAAGACTTTATCAGAAATATCACATAAATAGGATTTAAAAAAAAATTTGTTTTAATGTAAAAACAAATGTAACAAAAATTAATTTATAAGCGATTTATTTTATGAAGTGAAGTGTTATAAAGTCTATTTTTTTGCGAGGATTTCAATAATTCTTTGAAGGATGAATAATAAAAATATCGATTTCGTTATTATCTTTCATTATTTTATTAAGTTTACAACGTTAACAAGAACAATGTAATATCGTGGTTCAGTGATTATTGGTAACAATTATAGGTAATTGCATTAGGCGATGAGATTTATACGATCTATAATTCACACTAACAGCTGTATCACATTACTGAGGTAAACTGCTCTTACAAAAATAATGTTTTACCGTTAGTTTCGTTTAAATAAACGAAATAATTGCGTTATTGTCAGCTTTTAATTGCAATAAATCTTGTCGATCTCCAACTTGGAATTAATGTACGATGCGGGCTGTGCGTACATAATACAACGTGATAATTTCGTTAATTCGATTGCATTGCGCTGCTTACACCAATGAATGTAGGAATTTAAATACATGCAAAAATCGATGGATAACAAATGAAATACTGCTTTCAGTATAATATCTAGGAATGTTGTATCCTTCGTAAATTAATTTAAATTAATTTTTATTTCTTAACACTTAAGCTCTCAATCTATCTCTCTCAAAGTCCTTCTCACATTAGTCATATTAAACTATCTAATTCAGATCTAGTAGGTAAGTTATCGGTAATATATTCGCGATTGAATTGTCCATAAAGTTATTTGTGATCGTGTTAGTTGGACCGCAGTCCAAACCAACGAACGTCACTCTCACTCTTAATCGTATAATAGATGTTCAGATGACCGCACAGATATTTAAGACTCATCCGATCGCACAAAATCACTCCTCGGCTTCACGAGACATTAATTTCACCGGCGATCGATAAACGGTCCATCGTCACGAACTATTGCTACAATACTGGCGTCGCAACGAAGCGATTGCTTCATTTCAAAGGAAACTATCGGCACCATTAACGCTTTACGTTCCAAACATCTCTCAAACCGCTTCTACAAAGGAACATTCCTACACTTGCAAAAATGCAGTTATCGCGCTCCTAAACTTGGGCGACGGAATGACTGCTGAATTCGCGTATAGCAAATAAAATTGTAGGATATATTTATTAGAATAAAAGTACTTAGAATTTCTACTCGGAAAATTTTCTCCGAATATTTTTTTCATTCCTGCATTTCGATTTTTGATTTGTAAAGCATTAAATCGATTATATTTTTGTTATGCATGTATAACAATATAACTGAAATTATATATGATACATATAAATAATTATATTATAATTTATATGTAAATAATTATATTATAATTATTTATATAAAATATATTCTAGTATATTTTATAATATACGTTATAATATATATAACACATATATATACTGTTACATGCATTATTATTAATTATATATTTATTTTTATAATTATTATATTAATTATAAAAATAACCTTATTGCATTTGTACACGTTCCGGAATTCTTATATCCTTTCTTGCGTCTTATAAAACTATTAGATGCCTTTTCAAGTAACCTCAAGATAGTCTCAAAACACACATTTTAAAATTTAAATAAAAAGTTATACTGAACAAGGAGTCAATCACAGTTTTAGTGCTAACCAATTATGTTCGTTATTCATACAATAAAAATTATATAAGATAACATAATACATTTCAAAATATTCTCAAAGTATAAATTTTTGTATTCACTATTAAATTACTATTAAATATTTATTTAGTTTTTAGCTAACAATAAGAAACTATTAAAACAAAAGTCGTTTAATAAAAAATATTCTCACGATATGATTATTCAAAATATTACTACAATATTCTCTCGAGCTATTCTCTCCGTCTCTCTTTGCGATGAAATTATTTCGGAAATATTTTCTATGAAAGTAACAATATTATATATACATATATAAATTTTTTTCTTCATAAAAATATAATCCCAAATTATCAAAATCAATTATAATATCCAATATAGGATAGCAGAACATATTCGAAATATATGAAATATTAGAATTTTCAAAATGCTCACGAAAACATCGTAGTTTTCTTTGAAGAAGATATTCTGTCTCGTCAATGATAGACTCATTCGCTATCAGAGACACAAGTGTTTTCCACTTCCGTATGCGCATGAACTTCGCCGTTGCCGGAATAAGTTACTTTGCTGTATTTGTGGACGGATTTGCGTTTACGGATGTACCAGGTGACTGCAAAGTAAATGATGATAGCGGCCGCCACGCCCAGATTGACCAAGAACACCACGGTCAGCCTGTGGAGCCACACTGTGGATTGTATTTTCCAGGAAATGCTGCTGAGCACGCATAGTGATCTTCCGTTGCTCCACACGAATATCGAATCCGCGTGACAGGTGATGCAGTCCGCGTCGCTAGGTCCTTTGCATGATAGACACGAGTAATGGCATACGGCGCAGAAAGCACTGGAATCATCATCGTCTCGGACCGTGTAAGTTCCAGACGGACATTCTCGCAAGCAGTCGCCGTTGCTGTGGTGCCAACCCGGTTTGCACACTGAAAAATTAGATACACCATTGACGCTTCGTTTTCGTTTAGTCGAGGTTGTAGGGTGTACTTGTACTGTGTTGTTGTGCTGTCGCTGTTGCTGTCATTGCAGTGTGACGTGTTGTCGCAGCCGATTGACATGTCGGTGTAACGAATGGCATTGCGAAAAAGTAATCCAAATTGATCAGATTTAGAGTCAGGTTTAAATAACTTGGAATCTATATATATTTCACAAAAAATAAATTAATAGAAGTGAGATAGTTAACTGTAATGATTTCTAACTTGTAGAATAGTTATTTAAACAAATTTATTTGTAATGCCATTCAATCGTTTGCTTAATCAATCACTGCACAACGTATAATTGAGTATATTTTGTAATATTTAATGTGAATTTATTATTAACTAAATGTCTATATAATAAAATATTAAGGTAGGGTAAAATCATATCGCTATTTCGAATTATTACTTTAATGTATGGCTTAGACTTTGGCGAATATTGAAATTTAGCATAAAAAATTTAGAACAAAAATTTTAGAAAATTTAAATAATATTTAAAATTTATTGCAAGTCTTCATAGTTTTAAACATTATTTAATTATACATTCAATATTTTCATTATTTTAATGTAAATTTTAAAGTATTACTGATAAAAATTATGTCTTTCAAAAATTTACTGACAATGAGTAATTATGTGTAGTACATGTAATACTTTATTGTATATGTAAAATATTCAGTTACATATACGAATTTACAATTACGTAATTACAATCTTCGGATTCTTTTTGTAATATATAATTGACTAATCAAATATATGTATATAAATACATTCTATCAATATTGTATCAATTTTCAGTCTACCAATATTCATTGACATAAATTATTTGAAATAATTAATTTGCACTATCGATTCGCCCAGGCCTAAAATGTGTGCTCGTAATTATTTCTTAAAGATACACTAACTAAAAAATATATTACTACTTAAAAAATAACATTAGTTTATACACTAAAAGAAATCTAAAAAAATAATCTTTAAAGTAAATAAATACACAAAACGGTAAAGCCTGTAACGTAACAACTCTCAAAATTTGCGAAGCATGCGAAAGCATATACGTGCCATGCTATACAGGCTATAATCCATTTACAAATTTTACAAAAACAAATAACATTTATTGGGACAAAATATTTAAAAAATAGTAAAAAAAATAAAATGTATATATATATATATATATATATATATATACTATTTTATTTTGAATGTGTGTGTGTGTGTGTGTGTGTAATTTGTATGTTACAACATGACAAATCTGTAAAATTTATCAGTTACAATATTTGATATCTACAAATAAATTACATTATTTTAATCCTCATTCATGCATAATGTACGCTCGTTACAAATGAAATTGTACATAGCATTCATTAATCAGTAATAAAAAAATAAGATACAAAACGAAAGATAATTATGACAAATTGACATTGTTATTTTTACAACTGTGTATGTTGACGTTTCTTTTTACATTAAAATTTTTAATAAAATATCGTCGCCTTTTTGTACATTTTGCACAATAAAAAATAAATTAAATATATAAAATATATATATATATAAAATTAAATATAAAAAAGGAGAACATCATGAATTTCTTTTTATATTGTGTAAATCTCTCTGCCTTTTTATTTTATATTAAAATGGATGTCAAATATGAAAAAAATTTGTTTTTGTATTGTTTTCTTTTATAAACACATAATGAAAAACATAATATAGCGACGTATGTACATTAACAAATATTTATAATTTTTTTATTGGTTTAATCATATTCCATTACTATATTTTATTAGATAAAAATGAAGTGTAAAAATATCTTCACATTATTAATATTATCGTCAATGGTACACAGTATTATCCATTAAACGATATTTATTCTGATAGATTATCATCATGTAATTGTCTATATACTGTCTGACGATAATGATTGTATCAGTGCAATATTAATTTTAATAACAAAAATTGGTCTTGTTAAACAAATCAATGTGAAAATTCCTTATATGAAAAACGCAAGCGAAGGAGATGTGCGCATAGACAAAAGCCGTTAGTACTGAAATGAGAAAATATAGACTATCTCTCGTCAAAGTACGTGAAACCCAAGGGAACGCGTTTATTTCTCGAATTGGGAAGCTTAATGAATTCTGAATCATTCAACGCTTCGCTTAATAACTTGGTGACAGCAACAATAGTAAAGTTTCACTAATTAAATTCATGTTAAATATCTCGACATGATATTACGTATCAAGATTATGAATTGATTATTTATATTTTATACATATATATAATGAAGTACATACAACAACACAAAATTACAGAACGTTCCTTGAATGTAGCATAATTAGACATATTGTCTCTTTTTCAAAGAAAAATCAATGTATTTGTGTTATTAATTGGCTTTTTAATTAACTCGTCTTAAACTCTTTGTGAAAGTAAAAACTTATTAAAAATTTCAATAACTAATTATTAAATTTTAATAACTCGAGTCTTACTAGAGTTTCTTTAGCTATTAGCGTTAAAAATTTATTAATAACGTCTGAGATTAAAGCTCGCGAAAAGAAATTCGAAATACGAGGAAAAAAAAATCGAAAAACGACGTAAATCTTTTTCAGAAGACCTTATGGACGGGCACGGATGTGAAATTAGAGTGCATTAGAGCAATTAGAGAAACGAATCTCGAACCCCCTCCCCCCTCTTCCCCTACAGGCATCCAAGTACTTTCTTCGAGAGTGATAAATCGCACGAGAGAGGATTAAAATAGGATATTACATAGAAAGAAGAAGAAGAAGTAAGACTCACCGTGCTGGTGAAGCGATCAGGGATAAGGCTGTATTTTTTTTTTGTTTTTTTTTGTTTTTATGTGTGGTTGTGGATGTGTGGATGTGGTTGGTGATGGTGATGATTGGTGGTGGTTGGTGGCTGGTCTGAGAAAGTCCGCGTCCGGCACTCGTCCCCACGGAGAGTCCAAGTACCTAAATACGTTTTCTGAACCTGCTATAGGATAAAGGGATAAAAGGCGACGTACGCGTGACAACTTCGAAACGGTTTATATCTCACAAACAATTCGACGTTCGTACGTGTGACGCTCGCTGAGAAAACTTTCTTCGCGCGCATTTTAGACTGTATTCGGATATTCGAGAACTAGGAATTTTGGGAAATAAAGAAACACTCCATTCACATATTGGCATGTGACTTTTTTAGCGACGAAATTAGAAAGAAAGGGGATAATGTTCGTAATTCTCTGTTTCAAATTGACAAAGTGAATTAATTTAAATTAATTAATTTAAATAAGCTTTAAATTTGTTTATATCTAATTCTATTTCATTGGCAGAATCAGAGCTCGTAAAAGCAATTCTGCCAATTCCACGCGTTTTCTATTTGCGACTCAAGTTATACTGGAATTAATAAATTGAAATGTAGCTGTTAGTAAGAAGGTAAGAATATTGAAATGGAGAAATAGAATGTTGAAATGGAGAATAAAAGGACTTTGACTTATGCTCGGATGGCTCAATTAAATTGATTGACGAGTTCTCGATAATACACTGGAAATCGGGACTGTCTGGCTGGGATGTGTTCGCACTGGTTAATCATCAAATCCCTAAGAGTTACTGCCGCACGGTGGATTAATCGTCCCTGTCCCAGCAGGATCGCGATAACGGATAATTGTACCAGGTCCACGCTGCCACAACCTCACACGTGTCTCTAACGTGTCGTCTTCCAACGTTCTCCACATCCGTTTCGATCAAGATAAAACAAATAGATGGCTCGAAAAAGAAAGGACAAAAAAGCGCATCATTAATTTAATTGCGCGAGTTAGAATCACGTTTTCTCAGAGAATAATGTTCTTCGGTAAAAATCGTATGACGTAAGTAATTGCGAATAAAAAAATAATGCAAAATTTTTCTTAAAATGTAGAATAGAATTATTTTAATATTTTTTATATCTTTTATTTTAGCATTTCTTTATATCTTTTCTGTGTATTGCAACACAATACGCAATTCAAATGAACTGGAAAGAAAGCGTCATGAAGAAGCTTCAATGATCGTGAACTTTCCATATTATCAATTTCAAAAAGAATTGAAAAGAACAGAGTTTCTATATATTTTGTTAAATTTTCGTTTCATGCAAATATATTTGAACTTGGAACAGATTATACTTGGAGTAAATTAGAAGACACATTGAAATCGCCAGTAAAGTGTACTTCAAACGCCGTTGCACCAATTCATGCATATTATATAAGCGATAACGATGTTCCGAGTGAAATGTCGCGTCGTGCTGCTTCGAAAGCCATTTATCTCGCGAATAAATAGCGTAAATTAGAAGTGCAGTTACTTAGTATTCAACGTGCGTTTAAAATCAAACATAATTACCTTAATGCATAAAATCTAACATCTACATATGCAACATTTCATGCAGAATTATTAATATTACTGTGTATAATACATTATGTCATCAGCATGTATTGTCTGAAATGCATATGTGTGTTTTATACATAACTATAATGAAACATTTATGACCTAATTAAAAGAACTCATCACATAGATATATGGTGTTAGATTGACATGAGTAGAGATTTATTGAATTGTTCATAAGAAGCGCTTTCATACACAGCAAAATTAAATTAAACTTTACATTGATATTTATTTTTTTATATTGACGTCTAATCTTTCATTCACTCATTTCTTCAAATTTTCTTCCCGTTATTAATATTTTATTTCTTCATGAAAGAGCATGCCAATTACGGGTTCGGAGTGTTAGCTTCATTCACTTCGAGAGGTATGATTAAGGTTAATGTATATTCAAAGAAATTTATTATGTCATGCATTGTTATCTTTAAGAAATTGAATATTCGCTTGAATATGTTTAGTAATCAAACAATGCTTAGTCACTTGGCCTTAATGAGAAATAAATGTCTTTATAACCAGCGTTTTCCAATAACGTCTTTAATGTAGTTTGTCATTCAAACGTAATTT